CGCGCGTGTGTGTAGGTGTGTGTGTATGTGTGTGTGTGTGTGTGTGTGTGTGTGTGTGTGTGTGTGCGTGTGTGTGCGTTTTGTCGCGCTCTGCATGAGAAAATAAGTTTAAAAACGCGTGGCAGCTGATAAGTACCCGTGTGTCACCGCAAGCAGCATGTGTCATATAATTCTAGATCAATGAGTTGATGGGGTTGTATTTTTTCTGCTTGGACGAGTATTCCACTTTGTGATGAACTCAGCTGCTGACAATCATATTTTTCTGACACACATCGTTCCACTTTTGGAGATAAACCGTGTACTGTAAGTTAAGTGTTAGTTTATCTATCCTCTCACGTGAGAGATTCTGTGTTTGTAGTTATATTCTTCGGTTCCTCGGAGGAGCGTTAAGCACAGCGTACAGTCACAGTCACAGCCACAACAGTCAGGTTGCTGTGCGCACTCCTCCCAGTATGTTTCTTCTCCTCGCTCATTTCAGGAGTAGATCTACAGTGTGTGTTGCTGGTCAGTGCGTTCTAAACTGACCACTCCTTGGAGTCGGTAGCAACGCACGGGCTGCTGTTGGTGGTGGTGGTGGTGGTGGTGGTTCTGTGCACGTGCTGGTGGCAGGGATGCCCCCTCATAAGGAACATTCCTAGTTTATCGAGGGTAAGATATTTTGATGTTGTCTTTGTTTTTGGTTTAGAAACTGTTATTTAATGGATGGATAATCCGTGTTACAAACTGGTCGTCGACAATGATACACAAAATACTTTTTTAAACCCTTACGTGTATGAGCCTACTAGATCTAGTATGAGCTTTATTGAAGTTTGGTGGAAACAAGCTGTATTCACCCTCCCGTTGTATGGGAATAGATTGATAGCGGTACGCGCGTAACAGGGTGAAAACTATATTCTCGGACGGCACTGAAATGCTGATTTGGAATTGTTAACATACCAAGGGATTCGTGATCATGAAGGCCTACATTTTAATTTATGAAACATTTCTTGTTGATTCTGTCTATACCCTTATAAATATGATGAAATGAATCCCAATTTGCATTAGTAAAAGAGAGAGCGAAAAAAAAAGGGGAGGGGGGGGGGGAGAGAGTTAAAGGAGAAAACAGACCAAACGGCTGGTAGACATACAAACAGTTAGACTGACAGATAGACAGATAAATAGACAGACGGGCGGACATGAAGAGAGAAGAGAGAGGTTTAGGGGCGGGGGCGGATACCTTGTTAATATAATTATTAGTGTGAGTGCGTTGTGCATATTTAAAGAACGTAGTGAACACATGATATCATGCAATGTGGCGTCGGTGGCCTAGTGGTTAGGCTCTTGGACTCGCAACCGTAAGGTCGTGGGTTCGAATCCCTTCAGGGACCCGACGTTGTGTTCTTGAGAAAGGCACTTCACGCGAATTTTGCTCACTTCACCCAGGTGGGAATGGGTACCCAGCTCTTGACAGCGGAAGACCTTACAAAGTATACTTCCCGGGAAGCTGAGAATGTTTCTGAGTGTTCTGTGGTCTGCTGAGGTAATAATATAGTGTAAAGCGCATAGACCTTGCTGTTGAGCGTGGGTGTGCGTTAAACAAATGCTATTTATTATTATTTTTAGCAGTAGTAGTAGTAGTAGTAGTAGTAGTAGTAGTAGTAGTAGTTGTAGTAGTAGTAGTAGTAGTAGTAGTAGTAGTAGTAGTTGTAGTAGTAGTAGTAGTAGTAGTAGTAGTAGTAGTAGTAGTAGTAGTAGTAGT